TCTTTGCTCAAAGGGAAGCCAGGGTGGATACCAGCCAGCAAGTCTGCTTGTCACACTCTTCTGGACACCTCAGGCAGCACCCGCAGCCAGGGGAGGGTTTTGGAGGCCCAGACACTCACAGGCCAGTGAGCCTGGCTGGGGTCTGCTCCATCACGAGGCCCCAAGCCCCTGGCACCAATCCAGTCCTGCCATGGGGACTGTTTCCCAGGCATCCTGTGTGCCTTCAGCTGGCTGCCTTCCCTAGGGACAGGGTGGAGCGACCCAGCCAGGACGTGTGCTGCCTCCCCTCCCAGAGCCTCCCAGGAGCAGCCAGCAGAGGCTCAGGGCCTGGGGAAGAGTGAGGTTCCCACACGGCACAGAGACCAGGCCGAGCCTCTCCTGCCTTCCTCCTCTGCCACCCCCCACCCCCACCCCCTCCATCAAGGAGGCTGCCTGGTCACAGGACGTCTTGCCTCAGATGTGCGTCGAAATACCCTTTCTCCCTCAAAACCATCTTGCTGGGCCTGGCAGGACCCCCAGAGGCACAGCCTCCCGGGAGACCGGTATTCACTGCAGCTGGGGTCCAGGTGCTCGTGGGCATCACCAGGGTTAGGGTTATTGGGACAACTCCACATTTTCCCGGACCACTCTGACTTCTGGCTTCCCAATCCACACTTCCCAACTCACTGTCTTCACTTAGGGTGTGAAAGGCACTGCTCTGCTCCCCAATCTCAGTGAACAAAGAGGACACGCAGAGGTGGGAAGTCAATGGCTCTCGCCTCATTCTCCGCCTGCAGGGAGCCCTCAGGTGACTGCAGCATCTGGCCAACGGGCTGAGCTTGGGAGCACAAGGGCCCCTGGGACCAAGGACAGCCTCACCCCACCACACGACCTCTGCTCTGGGGCACTGGACAGGCCTGTCTCAAGCCAGGGATCATGCGTTTACTGCTGGGGACCTGCCGGTCTTTGTCAAGCAGGTCTGCTGCACAAAAACACAGGAGACTTGGGTTCCCAGGTTAGGGCAGGCGAGACCACGCACATTTCAGCGAGTGCCTGGGTGGTCTGGATGGTCAGTTTAGTTCAAGGCCCCAGCAGCGTACTGCTGTTGTGTGACTCCCTATTTTACGCACTCCAACTCCAGCAGGGGCCGTGCTGCGTGGGCACATCCAAATCTCTTTAATGGCTGCAGACCATCCTGACACAGGGAAGACGTGGATGGATTTAATCCCTGGACAGTCAGCCCACCTCTGATTCTTCACCAGCACAAATGATGCCACACTGAACACCTCCATCTGTAAGTATCTTTGTACACCTGTCTGGAAATTTCTGTAGGGTAATCTCTAGATATCTATACAACTGCTAGCTCCACGTGTGCACACATCTCACAGTGCCCTCCAAAAAGGAGGTACCAAGGGCCCTGCCATCTGTGGCCTCAGGTATGGGCTAATTGCTCTCCAACCTTTAAGCTGGTACTTGGTGCCACCCTCTCCAGGCAGCCTTCCTTAACTGTCCAGGAGAGCTAAACACCTCTTTTCTAAGGCTGACCCCCTCAGCATGCACTCGCACTGTCTACTGTTGGGGGTTTGCCTCATCCCTAACACGAGCTCTTGGAGGTGAGAGACATGTCCCAGGGATCTCAGGATTCCACATGCATCACGGGTACGCAGTTCATGTCACACTGTAATGAAGCAAGAGGGCAATCAACTTGAAAGACCACCCAGGAAAGTTAATTTCCCCAAAAACCAGACCCAAGTCTGGACCTCACATTGCACAGCTGGCCTGACATCAGAGGTGGGCACTGTCACTCACTCACAGGGAAGACCCTACTCAAATGTGAAGGACCCAATTCCATTCCAACAGGAACCACAAGGGGGTGCTAGAACCCTACAGACGCTATTCCTTGCCCTGGGCTGCCCAGTGGCCAATGCCCAGGTCCAGGGAAGGAGCAGCTATAGTCCAGGAGCCGCTTTCCAAGGGCACTGAGGCGGGCCTGCCCAGAGGAGACTGCTTCCATGAGGTTTCAAATCAACATGTGCTTCTGGAGCAAAAGGTCATTTCCCCTCATCCCCAAGCAGCCAGGCCCCTCTCATTACCTTTCCGTGCCGTGGGAGACAGTTACGGGGGTTCTGGTTTCTGCCTCGATGGGGCCTTCTCCTTGCCCCGCCTCTGACTCCTCCTTCACCCACTGGTGGTTGGGGAAGAATTCCTTGCATTGCCCGTTGTGTGGCTCCAGGACCCGTTTGGGTGGCCGTGGTGGTGGAGGGACACGCTCAGGTGGGGGTTCCAGGTCCTCATGGGAGAGCTCCTTCCACTGCTCCTTGAAATGGCAGCAAGAGAAGTCCCGTTAGCACTCACACTTGAGCTGTCAGGAAAGCCACTCCCGAGGAGAGCAGGGCTGATCCTGGGCCCCCAGCCATACGCTGCGAGGCCGTCTTTGGAAAGTCTATTCTGCCTATCACCGCTCACTCTCTCCCTGAGCACTTCAGAGACAGACGCTGGAACACTGTGAGCCTGTCAACAGCCTTCAGCTATTTTCAACAGGAAGGGCTGCAACAATGTCCTCTGACACACAGTATCGGTGGCATGTGACAGTGGACTGCCTGCCTCTTCAGAGAAAACCACCTGAAATCATCGCACCTGGGTTAAAGCACAGGCAATGCCCACCTGAACTGAAGAGTCCCCCATGATGAACTTGGCCCCTTCGATCACAGCTAGGTAGGAGAAGCGCAGCTGATCTGCCGTCTGGATCAGCCCCATGCGGAATTTCCTCATTTCTAACAGAACTTTCTTAATATCAACAGAAGAGGGGTCTTTCCTTTTGTCCATCTGAAAACCAGAGAGGAGACGCAATTCAGCCAGCTCTCTCAAGGGCAATATCACCTTGTGTGTTTCTGGGGAGTTCTCCAGTTTCTATGCAGCAGAAATGGGGACAGGCAGAGGAATTCTAGAGCAAGGGGGTTGAAAGAGCTAAGCGGGGAGAGAAAGGGAGTCTTCGGGTCGACCTGGATTCCACACGGAAATTAAGAGCAGCCCCCAGGACAAAGCTCTCTAGGGTAAAGCTACCTTCACAGAAAAGAATTGTGAAATACCACAGATCAAAGCCAGTGTGACCCAGTGTGACGCCTGGGGAGAGGTGACGGCAGAGACTGCCGTGCTGGCCCTGAGGAGACGTGCCAACGTGCCGTCTTCCCAAGTGTTCTCAAGGGTCTCCTTACCAGCAAGAGGCAGGTGTCAGCTAGGCAGAAGGTGCCTGACCGGCCGATGCCCGCACTGCAGTGCACTACGATGGGGCCGTGCTCCAGGCCGAGAGAGCCTGACTCGCGGACTTTGAAAAGGAAGTTCAGGAACGAGGCTGGTGATTCAGGGACTCCAAAGTCAGGCCACGTGGTGTAGTGGAAATGTGAAATCTCCCGAGCTTCCTGAGACTGAAAGAGAGAAAGATCCCCGAGGATTCTAAGGGGATCGCCTGGACAGGCAAGCACAGGGTGACTTCACACTCACCTAACTCAAGAGTCTCACAGCAAATACCACAGGCACCGAAATTCCTCCTGGGGGTCAGTCCACCCTCACCAAAGGTGCATGGCGCCAGGGCCCGCGGGCTGCTCCCCCCCTTTCTGGTGCCCGACTGCGCCTCCACCTCAGGGTTACAGCTGATGTCTCTCTGCCTCCCCAGCCACAGTAATGCCATACCACCACACACACCGCCTTCTCAGAAGACACTGCCACATTTCATGGAGGGTGAAAAAGTACCCGCCCGTGTGACACTAGCTCTGGATACCTCAAGGCTTTTCCAAACTATTGGAAGTCTCACAGTATTGTTACTGTAGAGAAAACAGAAACCGACTTGTTCTCCAAGGAGTGGTGCTTGCAACATGAAGACCAGGCCGAGCACACAGTCAACGAGGACAAGGCCACTGACAAGACTGGCAAGAAGCGACCCTGGCCGCTCACTGCGCTCCAGCACTGCACCTCCCAGCTCACTCGTGGCATGCACTATCTATCGTCAATGTCATCTTCCAGATGCAGAAACGAGGCTCGGGAGCCACAACTCCGTAAGTGGTGAAGCAGGAGTTCAAATCCAAGTCTGCCTGATTCACAGCCTGCTTCAGGAACTTCTGCAAGGAGAAGCCAGGCCCACAGTCTCTTCTCCACCCAGTGTGCTCCGGCAGTGCGGGACCAAGAGTGGCTTCCGGTGCCGTCCCCAGTTCTGCAGGACTCGGAGCCTCGGGGAGGCCACTCCCAGGGTGGGCACCTGGGCGCCAGTCGTGGTGATCAGAACATGGTTCTCACTGGGAGAAGTGTGCCCAGGAAAATCTTTCCTAACCTAAGAACACACAGGAAATGAGGCCAGCCACTTGGTAAGTAAGGCCCCGCAGGGCCCCAGGATAGCAAGTTTTGCTATGGGCATGGGCAGATAAGGCTCCCAAGTCAGTGCGCCCAGGCCACCTGGAGAGTAGCTGAGGGTGAAAAATGCTCAGGCTGGAGGCCTGCTGACAAACAATGCACCCTTCATCTGGCAAACGTTCACAAGGGGCCCACCATGTGCCAGCCGCTGAGGCAGGCAGGTCAAGGTCAGAGAATGCCCTGGCCCTTACAGAGCTCCCAATATAGTCACTACCACCTACCCAGGCCCAACTGTGCTGAAAACAAGTGACAGGGCATCACCACCTATGAGAGGCTATTAGGCTCCTGGTTAAGGAGTTCCATTTGCAACGAGCACTCATTCAACCCAGCAGCAGCTATGACACGCACACCTTTCCACAGAACTGGGAGGAAGTGGAACGCAACAAAGGACAATGTATAGAACACTAAGCAATCCCATTCTCTTCTCCCTGGAACACAACTTCCATGTTCTTTAATGGCTTAAAAGAGTGGGCACATTGCAGGCACAATGTGGCTGCGGGCGTGGTATGGGCACAGGTCCCTGCTCTGTCCCAGCTCAGGTTCCTTCAACAGCAGTCTTAAGACTCTCATCTTCCCTAGATCCTTCATGTCAGGCTTGCAAATGCTAAACTGCATTTTTTTTTTTTTAAAGTCAACTACATAATCCTCTGGGCACCTTGCGACACGCTAGAACATTATTTCTGAAGCCGCTGCATGAATCGGACTCCGAGGCCTCTCTGTGTGGCTGGAGCGAGTCGAGGACTCCAGCGCCGTCAGAGTGAGAGAGCCACAGGAAAGAAAACACTGCATAAACCAGAGGCAGGTGCCCTGAAAGCCACACAATTTTAATCTTTTCTCCACTTCTCAGTAACTCGCGCCAAGTTCTAGATCTTACTTCAATTATGAATTTGAGAACAGGTGCCATGGGGATGACCAGGCACCAGAGAAACCAGACCAAGATGCGAAGGTGTCTCTGCAGTGTGTGCCCTTCACCACAGCCCCACAAGCCCCTCCGTGGGCTGCCCCCACCTCCTTTCCCACCTCGGGACCCCTCCCTGGACAAGCCCACATGACCTCAACCCCAGAGTCCCAAGCACACCCTAGGAACCTGGAGCTGGTCGAACACTAACTTCCATAATGTCACACGAGCCCAACCTGCCAGAGGAGGAAACTGAGGCACTGACAGATCAGGCCCCTCGCCCAGCCTTGTGGTTTGATGTGATGGAGCCAGGACTCAACCCCAGAGGTTCCAGAGGGCTTCGATGACCCCACGTCCAATGGCATCCCCAGGTGCTGCCCTGAGAGCCCCTCCCGATCCCACAGAGCTAGCTCCACGTGGTTAGTCAGGAGCCCGTGGGCAGGGCCCTTCAGCGGTGCCTGTTAGCTCAGTGCCTGGCCTGGTTTCCAGCGTCTGTTCTGCAGAGGGGGATTTTCACTGTCTTTATTACTAATGTGACAGCTCTCGAACTGGCCCATCACTACGCTCGTCATTCTAACAAGGAAGCGACAGTCCACAGCTGCGTACACACTGACAGGGCTACAAAACAGCTGAATTTATGACAAAGGAAAAGTCTGAAAGTGACTGCTTGAATGGATTTGTCACCAAGAGAAAGTGTTGTAAGGAAACAGTCTTCCAAAAACCAGAAGGAAACAAGGCGATAACACACCAGTCTGGAGGCACCACGGCCTGAGCAGTCTTTAAAAAAATCATTTTTTTTATTGTTGTTGTTTAGAACTATCTTAAGCTAGGTTCTCCAGAAGAATAAAACCAGTCAAGCACAGATACATAAAGATACAGAGAAAGACTCATTTCAAGGAAATGGCTCCTGCAGTTGGGGAGGCTTGCAGGTCCCCAATCCGTGGGTCAGATGTCAGGCTGGAGGCTTCTCCTGGACTCATGTGGTTGCAGGGTTTGACGAACCCCCAAACGGACAGGCCAGATGGCAGGCTGCTGGCTCACATCCCGAGAACCAGAGGTCAGAGGAGGATGAATCAGATGCAGGATTCAGAGAGAATGAGCTTCACCAAGACATCCATGTATATTGGATGCGGGCCATACCCCCAAGAAAACAGTTTGGCTTTCAACTAATTGGTTAATTTAAGATCACAAAATGGAAGATGATTACATTATATTACATTAAGGAAGAGCAACCACTCCAGTGTATGCCAAACCAATGAGAATCATAGCCTAGTCAAGTTCACATGTAACAGTAACTATTATCATAGTCCACCCCTTGTCAACTTGGAACCTCTACACATCTCCTTGAACCACACATAATAAATACAGACAATTATTTGCACCTAACATGATACAACTAAAGTGTACAACTACAAATACACTAACCCCATTTACATCTTATATTTTATAAGTAATGGGAAAGAGGAAAGGAAAAAAAGTATTTGCTATCCATCCATCCATCCATCCATCCACCCATCCACCCACCCATCCATCCACCCACCCACCCACCCACCCATCCATCCAAGGAGCTCTGGTAGCAAAGTTATTAAAGCACTGAGCTGCTAACCAAAAGGTCAGTAGTTCAAACTCACCAGCTACTCCACTATAAATATAAAGACCATAATTATGTCTTCAGAAAGCTATTCCATCGTTCTATCAAGCCAGTTGCTTCAGGATGATGGGGAACATTGTAAGACCAGTGAATTCCATGAGCATGGGCCCACTGCCACTTTTCATTTGTTGTTAAGTGAGTTCCTTGATCCAAGGCAATGCTGTGTGGGGTGCAATGATGGTGGATAAAGCATTCTGTAACTCCATGGATGGTAGTTTTGGCAGAACCACTGTGTGCAGGGAAGGCAAATCAGTATCCAGAGTAAGTGTCTATCCCAGTAGAAAAGATGCTGCCCCTTCCATGATAAAAGTGGTCCAATGTAATCTACTTGCCATCAGTTGCCAGCCGATCGCCTCAAGGAATGGTGCCATTTCAGGGACTGAGGACTGGTCTCTGATACTGGCAGACTACAGCCTCAGCAATGGCTGTAGCCAGGTCAGCCTTGGTGAGTGGAAGTCCATGTCGATGAGCCCATGCATAAACTCTATCTCTGCCACCATGGCCACTTTGTTCATGAGCCCATCAAGCAATGATAGGAGTGCCTGGGGAAAGAGGATGACTGGTTTCCATCCTATCTACTCGATTGTGAAAATCCTCCCCTGCCGAGGTCACCCTTTGGTAAGCATTCACACGAGACACAAATATCTTCACTTTTTTGCCCCATTCAGAGAGTTCTATCCCTTTATCTCTTTCCCATACTTCCTTGTTACCAATTTTCCAACCATGTTCCTTCCAAGTCCTTGACCATCCAGCCAAATCAACAGCCACATCCCATGAATCAGTACACAACTGCACACCTGGCCATTTCTACCTTCCAAGCCAAATGGACAACCAGGTGCACTGCCCAAAGTTCTGTCCACTGGGAGGATTTCTCTTCACCACTGTCTTTCAGGGAGATCCCAGTAAGGGGCTGTAGTGCTGCTGCTGTCCACTTTAAAGGGGTGCCTGTGTATTGGGCAGGACCATCCATAAACCAGGCATGTTTCTCTTCTTCAGTCAACTGAGCATAAGGAATTCCCTATGAGGCCATAAGTGAAGATTGGAAGAGGGAAGGTAATGTGACAGCAGGGGAGATTGTGGGCATCTGGCCACTTCCTCAAGCAACTTACTTGTGCCTTCAGGTCCTGCCCAAGCTCAAGCTCGTATCACTTAATGATGGAGCACTGTTGTGCATGTTCAACTTTATGACTCTGTAGGTCAGACAACACGCAGTTCATCAAGGGCAGCTCAGGCCTCATGGTGACTTGGTGCACCATGGTTAGGTGTTTAGTCTTTGCTAAGGCCCAGTGACAATCCAAAAAACTGTTTCTCAAAAGGAAAGTAGTTATCTGCAGAGGATGGGAGGGCACTGCTCCAAAATCCTAAGGGTCTGCACTGTGATTCACCAAGAAGGGCCTGTCAAAGACTCCAAACAGCATCTCTGTCTGCCCCTGACACTTCAAGCACCATTAGATCTGCCAGGTCATATGGTCCAAGTGGCAAAGCGGCTTACACAGTAGCGTGAATCTGCTTCAGAGTCTTCTCTTGTTCTGGGCCCCACACAAAACTAGCAGCTTTTCGAGTCACTTAATAAACAGGCCAGAGTAGAACATCCAAATGATACAATGCCTCCAAAACTCAAAAAGGCCCACCAGGCATTATGCCTCTTTTTCAGCTGAAGGCGTGCCAGATCTAACAACTTATCCTTCACTTATTTTAATACTCCCCATACCACTGGACCCCTAGAAATTTCACAGAGGTAGAAGGGACCTGAATTTTTGTCAGACTAATTTTCTACCCTCTAGCATGCAAATGTCTTACCAATAAGCATAGGGTCATTGATACTTCTTCCTTACTAGGTCTAATCAGCAAAATGTCATCAATGTGATGGGCTAGTTTGATGTCTTGTACAAAAGAAAGGCAACCAAGGTCCTCATGGACTAAATTATGACATAGGACTGGAGAGTTTATATACCCCTGAGGTAGGACAATGAAGGAGCATTGCTGGCCTTGCCAGCTGAAGGCAAACTGCGTCTGGTGATCCTCAGAAACTAGAATCGAGAAAAAGGCATTGGCTAGACCAATAGTTGTATACCAGGTATTAGGAGATGTATTAATTTGTTGAAGCAAAGAGGCCTCATCTGGAATAGCAGCTGCCACCACCTGGTCAAGTTTACAATAATCACTGCCAATCTCCAAGATCCATCTTTTTTGCACAGGTCAAATAGTTGAGTTAAATGGGGATGTGGTGGGAATCACCAACCCTGCATCCTTCAAGTCCTTGATAGTGGCAGTAATCTCTGCAGTCCCTCCAGGAAGGTGGTATTTTTATTTATTTATTTATTTTGATTGACTGTTTTCCTAGGTAGGCACAATTGTAGTGGTTCCCACTTGGCTTTTCGTACCATTGTAGCTCTTATTTCAAGTGTCAGGGATCCAATGTGGCAGTTATGCCAATTGCTGAGTATGTCTGTTCCAATTATGCATTCTAGAACTGGAGAAATCTATAGGATGGGTTTGGACACCCACTGGACCAACTGTGAGATGGACCTGAGCTAAGACTCCATTAATAACCTGACCTCTTTATGCACCCACGCTGACTGGTGGGCCACAGTGACATTTTGGGTCCTCTGGAATTAGTGTCAGTTCAGAGTCAGTGTCCATAATTCCCCAAAGTCTGACTATTTTCTTTTCCCCAATGAACTCTTGTAAAAAGTCAAAGGTCATTTTTTGGAAGGTTGGGATAAAGACCAACAGTATATAAATCTTTGGCAGTGTAGTGGGATCTTTCCTCAAGGGGACCTGGCCTCACTTTCATTCAAGTGGTGATGAGTCTGTAAACTTGCTCAAGTATGGGAATTAACTGAAGGGCTGGGACTCTCCATTCTGGTGATTCAAGTTAGACTGCCATTCATTTCACCTAGAATTCTTCAGCTTGTGCATTATTAAGTCAATATTTAGTAAATTTCCCATCTATATTTCACCCTCCTAGGGACACTATGGGAGCTCTGGTAGCATAGTGGCTAAGGCACTTGACTGCTAACCAGAAGGCTGGCGGTTCAAACCCACCAGCCACTCCTCGGAAGGAAGGTTGGGCAATCCTACTTCCGTAGTGATACTGCCTTGGAAACCCAAGGAGGGGTTGCTATGAGTCAGGGCTGACTCGACGGCACATAACAACAACAACAACAAGGGACACTACGAGTAAGTAAGCAACACCATAAGCCCATCCAAATCAGACTATTTTGATTACCGCTTCAACTCTGCTGTCCATTATGGTGACCCTGCCCACCTTGTCTTTGGGATTAAGCACCAAGACTTGGCCTCTATCCTATTATCCCAGAGTCCAATCAGCCCCATCGTGGTTAGGTGTCTTAATTCAGCGAAGGCAGTTTCTACTGTCATATCTGACTTACATAAAACAGTAATCACAACAGTCTTCAAGGATGCTGGGGCTCCCTTCACAAATTTGTTCTTCACCACTGTGGTGAAAGGTGTGGTCTCTGGGCACTCCATAGGTGAGTCTGTGGGTCTAACCTGATAAACCTACTATAACATGCCAATTTCCCTAAGCCTTCAGATACTTTTTTCTATCTTATACCAAGGCAGATGTGGCATTTCAACTTGATTTAGTGTAGGCTACTAAGGAAGATGGGGCAATCTACTTCTGTAGTGATACTATCTTGGAAACCAAGGAGGGGTCGCTATGAGTTGGGTCTGACTCGACGGCACATAACAACAACAACAACAACTACTTAATCCATGCTTCAATGAACCAACCAAATAAACTAGTAGATCCTTTCTTGACTTCTCAAACTAAAACACTGAATGAAGTATCTGTGCTTAGTGGGCTCACATAAATAAACTCAGCCTGATCTGAGCTTATGTTTTTTGTACTATTATCCATCTCTTAATAGCCATTCTTACACATATTTCCCAGGTCTCGGTTTATACATATTAGAATAAGCAAGCAGTTCTTTTGGAGTTTGGGGGCCTCCTTCTGGGTCACACTTTATACTCCACTCCTTGGGGCCTGCTGGGACTTATGTCTAGTTATAGGCCTAGAAGCAACAAGGAGTTGTGGGAGTGGGTCCTGGGTCCATTCAGCAATGGCTTGTAAAGCACCTGCCTCTGGTAATGCCCCAGATTAACAGACAGACCCTGCAGGCACATCAGGGTTAATCTCATCAGACGTTATAATTCAGCCGCTCATCCGCTAAGACTCCGGCTTTGGTTTTCAGCAGCATTAGCTCTGTTACTATAAGAAGCAAGGCTTTCTTTCAGGTCACGAGCGGCAACACGTGAGCTGTGACTCTGAAGCCCTGAGTTTATCTCTTTCTTTCACCACTTTTTTTAATCTAGCAAAAGTAGGACCAACCAATTGGCCTCCTTATACTTCTCATTCTGACAAAACTGTACAAAAATATCAAATAAACAATCACCCAGAGCCTTGTTTCTAACAAATATTCGATCCATCGCGGTGGTATTTTGTGTATTTCTACTGCCACCTCAGGCCACAGATTAGCAGTGCCCTTTTACTACTGGAAGGAGCTCTGGTGGCACGGTGCTTAAAGCATCTGGCTGCTAACCAAAAGGTCATCAGTTTGAATCCACCAACTGCTCCACAGGAAAAAGATCAGGCAGTCTGCTTCTGTAAAGGATTTACACCCTTGGAAACCCTATGGGGCAGTTCTACTCTGTCCTATAGGGCTGCTATGAGTCAGAAACAACTCGATGGCAGGGTGGGTTTTACTACTGGAGGCAGAGTCATCAGCACTAGCCAGACTTGAGAACCAATTTAGAAAACCCATCCTTACAATTTAGTTTCTCTAGAACCACTCTTGGTAAAAAGTGTCTTAGGTTGGCATCTCTAGAGGAGCAAAACCAGTGAAGTATTTATAGATATATATCCAACCCACTGTTGTCGAGTCTGTAGATTTATTTCAAGGTAATGGCTCACTCAGCCGTGCAGGGTGGCAAGCCCCAAATCTCTGTCTGAGTCAGACGTCAGGTTGGAGGTTTCTTCTGACTCACATGGTTGCTGGCGCTGATGGACCCCAAACTGGTCGGTCAGACAACAGGCTGTTGGCTCCCGTCCCAAGGACCAGAGGGTCAAAGGATGATGAGTTGGATGCAGGATCCAGAAAGAACAAGCTTTGTGGAACATCCATCTATATTGGCTACAGGCCATCCCCCCAAGGAAACAGACTGGCTTTCAACTAACTGACTGCTCACATTAAGATCACGAAATGGATGATGATTATATTACATTATGGAAGAGCAACCAGTCCAATGCCTGCCAAACCACTGAGAATCATAGCCTCCCCAAGTTCACACATAACATTAACTATCATTAAGAATACACACAGCAAAAACATACACCAATTCAAATTTCTGCATGTACAATTCAGTGCTATTCTTTGACTTATGCAACTAATCTCACCCTCCTTTTCTGAGTTGTTCCTCCCCCATTCAGAGAAACTCACTGCCGCCTAAGGTTCTTATCTAATCTTTCGAGGTGCTGTTGTCAAATGGATCCCATAGGGATAGATCTTAGAGCACAGAGCAGAAGGCTGACATTCATTCCCAGTGAAGCTAATCTACTGTTTGAAGACTTGAGTGGATATTTTGGTTTAAGGTTTAAAGATTATCTCAGAGCAATAGTTTTGGGGGGTTCATCCAGCTTCCATAGCTCCAGAAAGTCTGGAATCTGTATGAATTTGAAATTCTGTTCTATTATTTTCCCCTTCTGATCAGGATCAAAGATCATCTTTTAGTGACAGACCATCGTCAAGCAGCTGCTATTAGAAATTCTTCCCATACAAATAAACCCAAAGACCTTTGTAGAAAATCTGCATTGGCTGTGACAGTAGAGCCAGCCTGGCAGGGTCCTGCCCCCACACTCAGACTAACAAGGCTGAGGGCTACGGCATAGGAGCGCGTCTGCGGCCTCTTACTCGTAGGCTGCCCCGAAGTCCCTCTGCAACCGTTAAGGCAGGAAGAGATCCTTTTTAGGGAAAAGACTCCCCTTTCCTGAGAGTCAGTACCAACCAGTGTTAAAAGCTGAGAGAGAGAAAGAGCTCTATGGAGAAGGAGAGGTCTAAGCCCCCTCCCCCAGGGCTCCTGCTCTGCACTCAGTGTGCCACAGTGTCAAAACCCACATGCTGCTAAAGGCACACAAAACCTGGACAATGGGGCCTGAGTTAGGTAATGCCACGCAAGGGCAAAGACATTTCGACCAGCCACCGCCTGGCACCCTTAAGCGTATGCCATACTTACTGCAATGTTTTCCAATTCTAGTTGTCGTACTGTGTAATATGACTTAATGTCTTCAGAGATCAACGTTAACTTCAAATTTGTGTCTTCGAAGATCATTTCCTTCTCTTCCTTCTGTGGCCAGTACTGTGCACATTTTAACTGGAGGAGAAAATATAACATGGAATTATTGTGAGAAGCCGCCTACAAGGAGACTCTTAGTACACTCCTGTGCTCTACGGTAACCCAAGTGCCTGGGGTCTCCCAATGCTGGAAGTCACTGTCAGCCATCCACCAGCCTCCCGAGTGGCTGGGGACAGGGCTGAGTGTAGAGCTGTGCAGCCAGTGGTGACTTGCAACCCCAGAAGCTCCCTGGTTACCCACGGTGACAGGGAGCTTCAGGGAGGTGGAGTGCATTTGGTCTGGCCTTTCCTGTCCCTGACAAGCACTAGTCTCACACTACTTCATGTAACCATTTCAAAGATGACCAAGGACTGGACTGGTGCAATTGGCACAGAGTGTAGACATTTCACTCTGTTATGGTGTTTAAGTCTGTTTGTCAACTTGGCTGAGCCTGGTGGAGTGGCTGGGCAGCTGGATGTAGTTACTCCCCATGGTGAGATTGGTAATTAACTCCATGGTGGAATCTACTGGAGCAGCTGAGTAGCTGCTTTAGGGATGTGGTCTGCTTCCCGTATATAAGAAATAGCTTTGGCAAAATTAATGGAAACAATCAGTCCCCATGACTGGTAC